GAAGAAGTTTCCGCAGACAGACTTCTAGACGCAAAAAAGGCAAAAAGTACGAACATAGACATCCACTCAGTGTAGGCAATTTGTCCACCCCGTCAGATGTTTTCGTACGCTTTGGAACAAATGCCTACCTTACCATCCAGTCTTAACTTTTCGATTTTTGAAATAATTGACCGGTTCCCTCTTTTTTTTAAAGATCACGTTTTACTCTTAATTATATTTGATGCAATATCTTCAGGTATTGAGGTCTATTTTCTTGCTGTTTGTTTTCAAAGGCAATGATTCAAAGGCGAGCACTGAAATTGTTCAGTAGATAACTAGAAACATGCTTTTGATTGATTGTGATGAAGCGTTTACGTGGGGACGTAGGAATGCGGTCAAAAGCAAAGATAGAGCGCTGATTTCGGACTGTTTGTGTCTTGCTAAGAAGCGGAAATATACTTTTTAAACTTTCTAAACGGAATTCGTTTTTGGTTCGCTGCCTGCTTGAATTCACTTAAATACGATGCTTACTTTTAGAACGGTGAAACAAGAAGCTAATACACCACAAAGGACGTTTTGAACGCCATGTTAATGATTATTCTTCCACACTCTCCCTACGAAATTTTAAAAATAGGACAATATCCCAATTTTTTTGACACGATAAAGCCATTCTGCCCCCCTCCTCCTTAAATTTAAACTGGATTGTGGGCAGTTTTTTGTAAATGGCGGTAAACTGGTCTAAAATAAGTCGACATTTTTCGAGTTATCTGAAAAAGCTTATGGTGAGATTGAAAAGGAAGGAAGCTTCACTGCTACGTGTTTAATCATGTTCAAAAGAGGGATGTTGGCCACCTGAACGTTAAGTTAACGTGTCGAAGTACGATAGTCGATAACTTGAAGGCCCTATGCATGAGAAGGCAGGGAAGACAAGCCTTGAGCGACTCAGTGAGCGTACAGGCAGCGTCTCTAGCGGCTTCATTGTCACCCGCGTGAGCCATTAAATTTGTTCGTCCGGAGATGAAGTGACTGTGGCGTCGACCAATCAATGAAGAAAGATATTTTGACTGACGTCACGGCGTCGCAAGCCGTAGATTGAATCCCGCGCGGACCGAACAAGAAATTGAGCGCAATACATTGGCCATAAAATGAGGTGTCTGAAAACAAGGACAGGCGACATGTACGTGCCTGGCTAGGTCAAGGTGAAAATCGGTCGATGTCAGCTTCAGTTATCGTACATTAAATCGATAAGAACGACTAATTGGACGCTGAGGAAGTACTTCAGCTTGTTGACCAGATATCCGCAAACTACATTAAAGACCTACGCTCAGGACTACTAACAACAGTCTAGGTAGTGACGGTTCAGCTAGCAAATCAAGCGGTTTCTTATCAAAATACATTGGTTCACGCAGTCAGGGGTGATGCCACCTCGGTTCCTTCCCTGATAATAGTCATACTAAATCTCTGTGTTGTACATCGACAGTTTGACGGCATTGAGTAAGGTTGTACTAATGACTATCATGTAACCTAGTCTGCAGTCCTTTCAGTCATAATAGGATGCCGGCTTTGTAATGAGCTTCCTTCTAACTACAAAAAATAATCCTTGTAATCGTTTCGTAGAAAAGTACGCCCTCTTTTCGTTTCATTCTTAAAGAAAGGGCACCTTTCAATTTAAGAAATTTTCTAATAAGAAGCTTTTTTACAACTGCGAGGTGTACATTCATAACGCATCGTAGCCTTCAATATATTAATACTGCCTATAATGTATACAGCATGTTCCACATCTATTGGAATATTTTATGGGAACTATGTGACGTCTTTCTCAAGCCGTAGGCGAAAACGTACTTTTCCTTAAAGAGGATGTACACAGCGCGCAGTTTGTTAACCTTGAATTCAAGTGTAGCAGTCAGTTTGTATAAAAATTATTCGGCAATTTGGAAACATTTTTAAAATTAACTAATTATCAATGCAAATATTGTAGCCTACTGATGTATAACCGAAACCAGTTAATGCTTTCACATAAACCTGCTCTTGGTCGCTCTCTATATGTGCAGCAGACAAGTTTGGACTCAAAAAATGGGCGGAATTCGTAATTCATATATGTGAAAGTATATGAGCCAAGCTGTGACTCGAATTTTTCCGGCGGAACGTCCGGAGTGCGTCGTCTGGGTGCGGCAGTGAGAAACAAGTAGGTATCAAATACAGTCGTTCCACGGTATCCACTTTTCCACCAAAACGCTTTCCTATATAAAAAACTTTGTGTGGAAAAGTTGTTGGGTATTACAAGCTTTGTCACGGATAATACCGCCGGATAAATTCATTAGCTGATTTTAAACGATGCATGTTGCGTGTTTTACATGAACTCTGCCTGATGTAAAAAAGTCACCTATTAACTTGCTAATGAGAAACTAGCTGAAAATCTGAAAAATCGACATTGTCGAGCACTCCTTGGCCCTTCTCTGAAGAAAATCAGAATACTTTACGTTTTATCTATAAAATGTAACGAAAGCGTGATGCAATATTAATTCGATGTGTGCCATCGTATTTTTTTCAATATTATGATTAATTAAGGGCACCAAACAGCACAGTGCAAAATATATACTATTTAAGCGATTTTTTTGGTTAATATGGATCAGCAGCCAACAGAAAAGGAATTAATTCAAAATCGGAAATTATTTTGCCAGTTAATTATATTGAGATTATGTTGGACAATAATTATTTATTAAACTTCACCTTAATTTTCCCTTCTAACCAGAAACACATCTCATAATTTTGGCTTATTTTTGAAGAGATAAGCCAGTTAAACGTAAAGTATCGTAGACTCCGCTTGCGGCCGTAAAACCAGGGATTGCCCATAAATAAGTATAACCTAAGCAAGTACCGTCCGGATGATTTATCGGGGGTAGTCCTCAAATTCTACTTTGCAAGAACTACGTAGCAAAAAATGTATAGAGATCTGGTTGACAACCGCATACTCCACTAACAGACACGTTGGTATGGCTCCCTGCTATTACAAACTTCGTTCACGTTTGTGGCCTAACTTCCAGCCAAAAGAGCGCACGCCGCCAACACTAAGTGAGACGGCGTTGACTCAGCTTTAGAATGAACCCCACCTCCTCCCCGTCCATCGCTAACCCCTTTCTATCTGGTTTACTACAAAAACAGTTCATTCTCACAGTCGCTGATGATGGTCTTCTGTAGAAGACCGAAAGCCCAGGCTAGGAAACGCATTGGCTCACTGATCGCGCATCCATCTTATTTCAAATTCTAAAAATGCTTGTCTCTTAGTGCGCGAGACAAGCAAACTATTAAATACTGTTGCTGACTTTAAAGGGATAGCAAAGATAGGTTCGTTGTCCTAGAAGACGAACAAATTTGGTTCCGCTATATTTCAATAAGCGTTTAATTTTCCACATAATAAAGTACTCTGAGTTAATATATGGTGCTACGAATATTCGTACAAATGTTCTATGTCATGTGTTAACATGAGGATGCGTTAGTATTTGTTCTGAAATCACAACTTTTTTGCAGGCTTTCTAGGCGACTTGCGCGACAAATTTTAGCTTAGGATTTTTATCCACACCCAAAATAACAATTTCAAGACGATTCACCTACCTTCTTTTCATCTGACTTGCTAAGCCCTGCAAGCGATTAGTTTACAAATTAATGATATAGAGAAAAAGGGGATTGTTGCGTGCGCACTTTGGAATTCCGTGGAGGTGCTTTAATGGGACCAATCGAAGCAAAATTACAACAAAATATGTTCTACTGTAGATTTCGACGATGCCTATCTCGTATGGGCGTAGGAATGGTGACTGACTTGTGAAATATGGCTAAGTCTAGTAGACTTGTGTTGCATCTAACGCACCCTGTCTTCCCTCCTCTACCTGAGCTCGGTGGAGAAGTCGGACGCAGATAGCTGGTGCGCCATGAGCCTGCACCACGGATACCACCGATTATTATGGGAGCGCATGTCCCACACTGACATTTTAGGGGGAAGACACGCGTACATTTAACATCGCTGACAAAGAAAACGGGCAAACGTCTTGGCCCTTTCTCGCTTACTATCCGACGAAAGTTCCCCAG